GTTTGCTTAGTAAAAAATTTTTGTAACGCCATCCGTTTTTAAGATTCAGGACGTTGAAGAAAAAAAATTTTACGCATTTTTTACGATTTTGCCGAAACTACTTAAGAGTTTTGTTTAATTACTAACTATTTTATACCAGCATCAATATTATTACTTCATAATTTTCAAATCAAAATATTCCGAAAACGATACACAGTATCGAGTTTACCAAGAGTACCTTTTTCGTGTAAAATTGAATGATGTTTAAGTTTACTTGAAATTTTGATTAATAATTATAGTCTTAAAAAGTTATATTGACTAATACTTGGTACGATCCGTGTACCTAGCGCCCTCTATGAGAATCAGATATAAAAACAAATTCATGGGATGTATCAGTTTCCAAAACATATTCGTATAAAATTTCATTACAATGTTGCCAGTAGTTTCGGCAAAATCGTAAAAAATGCGTAAATTTGTTTTCTTCAACGCCCTGAATCTTGAAAACGGATGGCGTTACAAAATTTTTTACTAAGCAAACCCCAATTATTTCTCTTTAGCTACCCTAGAGACGGGGTTCCTTTTTTTGAAACACCCTGTATATATATTAATATGTATTAAATTCAGTTCAACCACCCACAGTGATGCAAATTGGAAATAGAACTAGAACGGGTGATGGAATTTAAATACCTGAACATCATTCTAAAAAGGCACCGAAAACTCGAGTCAGAAGCAGAAAACCAAGAGTGAAATTGAACGACCATAACTATATAGGCAGAGTGGCTCCCATAAAGACCGCGAGAAATAATTCCCATGTGACCGATCAGTGGGACGACAGCAACATATTGAAAGGATAATATACTGAAGGTAGATTGGAAAACAGCAGATTATATGCCTACATTAAAGAATATTTAAACGCGTTTATCTACGTACATAACCAAAGAGAATCTAGCAATTAGTGAACAATGGGAAATGTGTAAAAATTATATTAAAGACGCAGCAAATAACATTATAGGGCCTCAAAGATTATCACCACGCAATGAGTGGTTCGATGCTGAGTGCGAGGACATTACAAGAAGAAAGAACAATGCATATATTCTGATGCAGTAAAGAACCCGAGAAAAAGAACAAAAATATAAAGATCTCAGAAAAGAAGAGAAGTACATCCATCGGAAAAAAGCGAGCTTATGAAAATAGAATGTTGGAAGAACTTGGGGCATTAAAAAAGGAAAATCAAACAAGAAAATTCTATAAAAATCTAAATAATGCAAGAAAAGAATTTAAACCAAGGATCAGACTATGTAAGGATAAGGAGGGGCATATGTTCAATACAAAAGAAAAAGTATTGAAAAGGTGGGTGGAACACTATAAAGAACTACTTACTATCGAAGTAGAAGATCCAATTCAACCACCTACAGGAACAAGCAACAATACACCATTGGAACCTCCATCAATTCAAGATGTACGGGATGCAATAAAACACCTAAAAAATAATAAATTCCAGGAAGTGGTGGTACACCCGTGGACCTTATTAAATGTGGAGGTGCTACTCTGACCTCTGACTAATCATATATATATATATATATATATATATATATATATATATATATATATATATATATATATACGTATATATATATATATATATATATATATATATATATATATATATATATATATATATATATATATATATATATATATATCTATATAATTATATAAGAAAAGGAAAAGAAGTCTTTGCCGACAACGTTAGAAAACGGAGCTTTTAGGTTTATTGGGACTTTTCAGCAATGAAATAAGTGTACTTTTTTAACTAAGTTTCAAGCTTTCGAAAATGTTTATTTTCATCATCAGGAAAAACTGAAAATAAAGTGCTACTGTTAGTAAAGCATCCTCGAAATCTATTAAGTGAGAAAAAATTGTATAAAGAGAAGGAACACTTACGTTATTGAGGTTTATCCATCCAATGAAAGCCATTTCTAAGAAAAGTCTTTTTTTGTAATTGGATTCAGTAGCTAAAATTTTAACTGATTCATAATTCATTATATGATGTTTTTTATTAACATGTTCTGCAAGGGCAGATCTTTCTGGATATAGTCTGCTGTCGCTACGGTGACTGATTAAGCGACTACCTAGGTTGCGTGTGGTTTGTCCCACATAAACCAAATTACAGTTGTTACAAGGGATCTGGTAAATTAGGTTGGAACAATCTTTGATGCTGCTGTTGTCTTTAACTTTAGAAAATATAGATCTTGCCGTTAATGAAGTTTTGAAGGCTATTTTTAAGTTGGTGAAATCTTTAAAAAGTCTTGAAAGTCTGGGTGTTATGCCTTTTATGTATTTTAGTGAAGTATACGAGCAATTGGCATTTTGTTCTCCGCTTGTGACAATGTTTTGCACCTCATCATTCTGGCGTGCTACGTTCGGGGTCAAACTGAATAAAATCTTGGTGACTAGGAGTTTTGGGTATGAATTGTCGATGAAAAGGTTTGATATGATTCTTAGGTTCTTCTGATGGAAAGAATGATCACTGATAGCTATAATTCTAGCTTTCATTTGCTTAAGCAAATTGATTTTTATTGAATGTCTATGGTATGACCAATAGTTGAGGAAACGTCCAGAACTATGAGGTTTTCTATGCCAGTCAATAATCAGGGAGTTGTTATGGGTTCTAATGAGCCGGGTATCAAGAAAGGGGACTGAGCATAGATCATCCTCATGTTCGATTGTGAACTGTAGTAGAGGGTCATAACTATTGAATACATTTAGGATTTCTGTGGATCCATTGTTAGGGATAGCTAGGATTAGGTCATCCACATACTTTTTAACAAAAGGAATATGAAAGGACAATTCTGGGGTAACCATATCCAGTAAGTGGTCCATCACATAACAGGCCAAAATGGGAGAGATAGTACCTCCCATAGGAGTTCCTTGTGTTTGTCTGAGCACAGTATTATTGAATGTGAAGTAGGTGTTATTAAAGAGAAAGGAGATGAGTTTTTTTTTGAAATACTCCAAGCTGATATTACAATGAGAACTGATAAAATTCCAATTGTTTTCAATAGCTATTAAAGCTGCATTTAAATGTACATTGGTAAATAATGAAACAACATCCAGACTATATATATATATATATATATATATATATATATATATATATATATATATATATATATGTATATATATATATATATATATATATATATATATATATATATATATAATCATACTAAGAATGAGGAACAAATCCCGGAAGAGTGGTGTATTGGGATCGTTTGTCCGCTACACAATAAGGGTGATCAATTGGAATGTAGAAACTATGGGGGAATAACCCTCCTTAATACAGCATACAAAATATTTTCGAGTATTTTATATGGTCGCCTGAGTGCATATTCAGAGGAGCTTCTTGGCGAATATCAAAGTAGTTTTAGGCCTGATCGATCAACAACATACCAGATCTTTGTGCTAAGACAAATACTGAAAAAAAAAAACAATGAATTCAATATCGACATATACCACCTTTTCGTAGATTTTAAATCGACCTATGATAGTGTCCTAAGAAATAAATTGTATGAAGCCATGGGTGAATTCCACATCCCCGATAAACTGATAAGATTGGTTAGGGCTACAAGTTATTTGCAAAGTCGAAATACAGGGCGAACAATCATAGGTATTTGAAACGATAGATAATGGCATCAAACCCAACAATAGAGCCAGAAACATCGGCCACCAATTCACGGTTGATAACTCTACCTTTGAAGTGGTGGACAAATTCACATACTTAGGCTCACCAAGAAGAACGTCATGACGGAAGAAATTAGGTGAAGAATAACCCTAGCAAACAAATGCTATTTTGTATTGAGTAGACATATGAGAAGCAGAAACTTCTCCAAGCAGAAGCCAAAAAAAAAACAAAAATAACCATATACAAAACACTTATACAACCAGTGTTGACATATAGATTGGAGACATGGACCATTTCCAAGGCAGGTGAAAACCTCCTGCTTATATTTGAACGAAGGATCCTGACAAGAATAATCGGTGGCATCTGTGAAAATGGTGTTTGGAGAAGGAGGTACAACTACGAGATATATCACAGATATAAACATATATTTGGTGGTAAAGACGTAGTATCTCTTATAAAAATAGGGAGACTAAGATGGACAGGACATCTGGCAAGATCACAGCAGAACAACCCTGCTAGAAGAATCCTTATGTCACAACCTGTGGAAAGTAGAAGTAGGGGGAGGCCAAAACTCAGATGGAGGGATGGTGTAGATGAAGATGGTAGAAAAATAGGCGCAACAAACTGGCAACAGTTGGCAATGGATAGAACTGATTGGTGTAATGGACTAGGGAAGGTCAAGGATCTTTTATAGGGCTGTAGCACCAATGATGATGATGATGATGATTATCTACGTAGATGATGAATATGTTATCAAAATTGCTGTAGCCCCATTTATTTTTTTTTAATTTTAATTTTATATAAAAATTAAAGCAAAAGCTATTACACTCTGTAGGTAGCGCCCTATTAATTACAATGTTATATATCCACTCGGAATTCTCAGCTTGCCATAAAGTGGCATAATGCACAATATTAAGCAATCATAGTTTAAGAGTAAATGTATTTTCCCACATTTATCGCAACCAAGTAAATACTTCCGGATTCATAATTTTCCACCACGTCTCTTTTAATGCTGAATCTTAGGAGGCTGTTTTAATTAATGCTGTTATCAGGTTTTCTCTGTCTGTTGCGATTTGGGATGCACGAATCTTCGAACAGAATGTTGGACCTCACAAAACGAAACAAAAAAATTTTAAACGTTCATTTCGATTCAAATAATAATCGATATAAACAATTTTAGGAATTTTATAGAGGAGCTAGGCTACCTTTAGCGTTACATGAATTATTGCATTTAACATGGATTCATGCAACCCACCTTGCAGGTTACAAACAGCAAGATGCTCACGAATTTTTTATAGCTACATTGAACATTCTTCATAAACAATGTTTAGATACCATGCCAAAGAATAATGAAATGGTACAAAAGGAAAATGATAAATGTCCTTGTATTATAGATCAAATTTTTACTGGAGGATTGCAAAGTGATTTAGTGTGTAAAAGATGCAAGTAAGTATTTTTTGTTTTTACTTGTTTAGTAGAAGTAATTAAGTTGTGTAAGAGAATTTAGCAGAGTAATAAATTAATCTCTGAAGTAATTTCATAGCCAGATTTAAATATGTATGTATATATTTTAGATATGTAAATATTTCTGTTCTGACTGTATAGATCGGTTTGTGTAGAAAACATTCCTGATTTAATCCTGCTATGAGTATTATTAAAGTTCTTAGAATCACATGAATGTTATTCGGCCTTTCTTTCATTCTTTCAGCTCTTTTTAACTAGTCTATTATTTTTAGCAAATCTCATCAGTAGTACCGAGTTGTTTGTTTGTGAGTAAAATTGGTGTGTAATTACGCTTAGAAATATTGTCAAATTATTTATAGTGTTCATTATTATATTAATTGTATAAGAGCCAAGGAAATAGAAAAAATAATATATTATAGACTGGACAGAGACCATCTAAGCGATTAAAAACGAGTGTATTATTTTTTAAATAAAAAAACTGTCCTCATGAATTGTTGCGTATTATTGAAAAAAAAAGTCCATTTGTACGTGTTATTGATACTGTAGAATTATCTACTGTGTTATGATATATGTTGCCAAATCCACAACTTATAAATTAGTCAAATATTGCAAAAATGGACATCTTCAGTTTTTTAAAATTTCTCCAGCTCGACAATAAATTCAAATAGATGAGACATTATTAAAACAGACTAAAGCGTAGAGTAAATATAAGAGTCATGGTTTTACTTCACAATGGAATCACGATACACAATATCTCTTGGTCGTTAAACGGCAATTATTATTTGTAGCAGGTAATTAAATGAGCCAGGAAAGACAATAGACAAATATATTACCTCAACAAACCATGGATAAATGCAGAATATAATGTTTATAAATACTCCCTATACGAAAAAACATTGGAAGGCAAGTATTCTTGTAAGGGGTGTCGACAGGTATGAGTCCGCCATTTGGTAAAGGAAAAAGGCTTAATATTCTGAGAAGTTCTGAAGATTTTATTCAAGCTGGATTATTATTTGTATTTCAAAATGTATTAGTGATTAACATGAGTTGACGAAAATATCAATGGGCATGTTTGTAAAGTCCGTCACTCACGTTCCAACACCACAGTACGATTTTGTCGAATGATACAAAATTGAACGTAATTTGATCGTGTATTTGCACCATGGCGACAGACAAACAAGTCAGTGTTCAGCAGTACGACAGAGTTGGTACGAAAATTTGATCGTGTATATTTTGCCAACGACAAAATTGTAGTACTGCAAAAAAAAATCATTTGCTGGTAAATTTCAAAAATTGCTTATAGCTAGAAGTTTTAGAGATTTCTTTGATTGAGTGTCTTGGACAATAAAATCGACATCATATCATGATAAAACCACTAGAAAAAAGCTGTGAAAATTTGGGTTACTAAATTTCAAGGAGTGAAAGCAGATACTAATGAGTAGTTGGTAAAAAAGGAAATTTAATAAAATAAAATAATAATTTTCGAACATGTTACAAAAGAAAATTAAAATTATTTGGATATAATCGCAATTCTTCTAATATATGTACGTGACAGTATGTAGGTCTTGGATATCACCTGACGGAAACACAGTCAATCAAATAGACCACGTACTGGTTGAAACAAGAATGGCCACAAGTATATTAGATGTAAAAATTAGGCGTGGAGCAAGCTGTGACTCCGACCATCTACTAGTACAGATACGGTTCAGATGTAAAATCAGTCGACAAGCAAAGGAAAAATATCCGAAACAAGAAAAACTAAACTTAGATAACCTAAAAGTCTCTGAGGTACAAGAAAGATTTGAGAGAACAGTGAGTGAAAAATTACTAGAAGAAAACATAGAAGAACTCACAATAGAAAATCATTGGAACACCATAAGCACTATCATACTAAACACGGCACAAGAAGTTCTTGGAACAAACACTCAACGGATAGAAGAACAGTGGTTTGATGAAGAATGCAAACAAGCTATTCACGAAAGAAATGAAGCACATAAGAATTTCATACTCAGACGAACTAGAGAGAGAAGGACAGAATTTGAGAATAAAAGACGAAGAGCTGATAAACTATGCAGACAGAAAAAGAGACGGTACGAAAACAACTGGATACTAAACATAGAGAGGGCGTTCAAGGAAAACGAAACACGCAGTGCATACCAACTTATCAAACATTTAAGACAGGGTTACAAACCGAAGACTAGCCTATGCAAAAATAAGAATGGGGAAATAATTAGCGATATGGACGAAATTAAGAGAACCTGGATGATGTATTTTAAGGAATTATTAAACGAAAGGGCACAAACACCACTACAACAGCGGCAGCAGCAGGTAGAACAGGAAGGTCAACAACAGGAGCTGTGGGAAGATGGAGAAGATAATGAATTTGCTAGACCTCCAACGCTAGAGGAGGTTCGAACAACAATCCAAATGCAAAAAAAATGCATTAGACGTGTTCGAAAGAAAAATATTGCGTAGAATACTGGGTCCAATAAAGGAAAATAACAACTGGCGAATTAGATATAATAACGAAATATACGAACAATACACTGAACCAACACTAGCACAATACACTAGACTGCAGAGATTACGATGGGCAGGGCATGTGGCCCGCATGCATGAGAACAGAATCCCCAGAAAATTACTAAACGCAAGAATGCAAGGAAAAAGACCTGTTGGAAGACCAAAAAAGAGATGGGAAGACGAGGTAGATGATAATGCCAAAAATCTCCTAAAAACGCGTTCATGGAAAAGAACAGCAGTAAATAGAGATGTTTGGAGAGGTTTAATGAAGGAGGCCAAGGCCCGGCTTGGGCTGTAGTGCCATTGGATGGATGGATGGACAGTATGTAGGTATGTCTTTTCAGCAACCAATCTTTGCACCACCAACTACGTTTCTTGTATTTTTGTCGTTTCTGCAAAGGGCAAGATCCTTGATTTTTCTGCTTTGAATGTAAAACTCATACTGCAAAATCGGTACGTGTGTGTTGCCATCCGATTTTCAACATTCTTGTACTGCAATTGCACTTGACAAAATCGTACTGCGCCGTTGAAACGTGAGTGGCGGGCTTAAAGAATAGTTCGTTGAAATGTTAGATCTAATTCTGAAGGGAGTTATTTGGACCTGTAAAATGAAAATCATTTTCGCATGTTAGATCCAATTCTGAAGGTAGCTATCATTATTATACACAATAAGAAATATTAGATTATAAGAAGCGCTGCCAAGAAATATTTGGCGTAAATGCAGTAGCTTATTTTTAAAATTTCAAACATACCAAAAAATTCCCTAAGAAGACTGTTTTTAAAAAGTAGATTGTAGATGAAACAGCAACTTAGCGTGAAATATCAATATTTTGACTTTTCCCTTTACATTTTTGATTAATATAATAGAAATTATTTGGGCTCAAGTTATAGGAGAAGTTGCCCAGAAAGATGTTTCTTTTAGGGTGGATCATGTTAATCAACTGTTTAAAGTATCATTAATCGCATGAGTTTTTTTATAAACCCGGGAAAAATCATCGAATGCCACCAACCCCTTAGATTTTATTATGTCGTATTTTTACCTGCTAAACATCCTTTCTTGTTTATTTTTAGTTTTAAATAAAATAGATCTCAATGTGTTTTTTGTTTAAATGTTAAATTTATTTCCCATTGTATTAATATTTTTCGATAATCCTTTTACCCTTGACGGTAAACTTCCCACTTCAATGTCTTAAAACTCTGTCTTTAGCTTCTTTCTTTTTAATTATCTTCGTTATTAATTTGTACTCACCCACGTTGACAGTTTAGCTGACTCTCTAGGATGTAATTTAGGAAATCCTCATCTGGTTGATACCCTTCTGTTTCAATAATAAAATACTGTCTGTCTTCGACTGATCTATCGCACTCAAAAATCTGATGTGTTGGCTACACATCCGATTTTCAGCGTCACAGTAATGGCAGTTTGGGCTTTGAGATTTCGTTTCCGTATCTAGCACATTCCAGTTGGCAATCTTGAGAGCTATCTTCTTGCTAGTGAATCTAATATCAATGAATGATGTAGATTGTAGATCGTATAAAAGTGGTATTGCTTCCTTTGTTTGCTATTATTAGGTCTCTTGAGGTGATAGTCTCTAAATGTATTTCGCCTTTTTTGTTGGTTATGGAGGAACGCCATTATGCAGCTTTGGCATTAAAGTCTCTTAGTATTATCTTCTCCGTGGTCTCTTTGGTTTCACGTGAAATTATCACCACTTGCTTTTTAAATTCTGTGATTTTTATGTTTGGTGACATATAGCAACCCATTAGAGTAAAAGTTTATGTTAAAGTCAAAATATTACTGAATTTTTTCATCCTACTTAAACTGATATTTTTGTTTCTTGGTATTATTCCAACATCTTTATTTTGGTCGATGATTCAGTTTGTTTTAGTCATTTTGATGTTTGGTTCGCTGGTTATTATGATATCGATTGAGTTCTCCAGTACCGTCAGGTATGCCATGTCATGGGCTCGACCGGTGTTGTCTTGTAGGATTTTGATGTTACTGTGTTTTTTGGGTCTTCTGTTATTTGGACAGTGTCGACTTTCAGTGCGATGGCCCTCTTGATCGCAGATAGGGCAGTAAGGGTTGTTTTTGCAATCTTTGATGCAATACCCTTTTTTCCAGATTTATAACAAAAGTTGCTCCTGTTTGGTCCTTTACAATCGTATAAGTTGTCATCTTTTGCCCAGCATCGATAGCGCCGTTATGATCTTACTGTTTTCGTACAGCTTAACCAGCCTATCCTTATTCTGCATGCCTTTAAAATTCTTTCTGTTTGGCTATCTATGACAGTGACGGTAGCTTTTTGTCTGTCTCTATTAATTAGTCTTAAACTCAACATGCTTAAATCATGAATGTGTTGCTTGTGTGAGTCCATTTCAAATAGGTAAAGAAATAATAAATAAGACTTACTCACAATCAATTTAATTTAACTATCAGACGACCGGTTTCGCTTTCTACAATATGCAAAGCATCTTCAGGTCTCGATACAAAAATAAATAAATGATGCCGGTACTCTATTAATTGATGGATGGTAGAACATGGTTGAAACTACTATGTATTGTTGAATGGAGAACTCAATTTTGCTATTGTAGTTGTTTGACAGTAAACGGGAAGTTCTTGAGGAGATAGATTTGATCCAATGAAGCAGAGATATGTGTGTGATTGTTTGTTAAATGAAAGTGATGTTATATACCATTGTATTATTTAAAAGTTATTTATACTTATTCGAGAGATATATTTATGAAATGTGTGTTATTTATTGAGTCATTGTTTTATGAAGGTGACAGTTTTATGACAATGAATAAGTTTAGATGTACAAATTGTGTGGGTGTGCAATTATTTTTCAACTTTTAATTATAAAATTTCTTTGATAAAGTTCTATTGGCAAAATAGTAGATTATTGCAAAGTCAAGTAAATAAAATATTAGAATTAAAACAATTAAGTACAATTTAAAACACACTAAAACAGAAAACACTTAGAAGGAACGAAACAAACATTAAATTTAAAAGGGGAAGGTTTTTTATGCACTACATCTCAGTCTTGGGCACAATGAGTTTTTTATATTTAAACACATTGGGCACAATTTATATAAAAAACTCATTGTGCCCAAGACTGAGATGTAGTGCATAAAAGTCCTTCCCCTTTTAAGTTTAATGTTTGTTTCGTCCCTTCTAAGTGTTTTCTGTTTTAGTGTGTTTTAAATTGTCCTTAATTGTTTTAATTCTAATATTTTATTTACTTGACTTTGCAATAATCTACTATTTTGCCAATAGAACTTTATCAAAGAAATTTGATAATTACAAGTTGAAAAATAATTGCACACCCACACAATTTGTACATCTAAACTTATTCATTGTTATAAAACTGTCACCTTCATAAAACAATTACTCAATAAATAACACACATTTCATAAATATATCTCTCGAATAACTAAATTAACTATAACGTATAAATAACTTTTAAATAATACAATGGTATATAACATCACTTTCATTTAACAAACAATCACACACATATCTCTGCTTCATTGGATCAAATCTATCTCCTCAAGAACTTCCCGTTTACTGTCAAACAACTACAATAGCAAAATTAAGTTCTCCATTCAACAATACATAGTATTTTCAACCATGTTCTACCATCCATCAATTAATAGAGTACCGGCATCATTTATTTAACTTTGTATCGAGACCTGAAGATGCTTTGCATATTGTAGAAAGGGAAACCGGTCGTCTGATAGTTAAATTAAATTGATTGTAAGTCTTATTTATTATTTCTTTACCTATTCAACATGCTTACTTTCGGCAGTTCGTTGTTGAGTAACTTCGTAACTAATTCTATAATTTCCTTCTTGGATGTTACCGATTTAGGGTTCCTAATTTGTATGGTTACAAATTGCTCTCCCCCATTTTCCTTACGTTTGCCACCCCCACTTCTTCGCAGATGGCTTCTTTGAGGAGCTTTGTATTTGTGCCTTTCTTGTCTGCTAGCAGTAGTTTGCCGTAGTTTTTCTACGGATCTCTGTTAGTTCTATACCTAGTTTTTCTACGTTCACAATACTTTTAATGTAACTAAGCATCACTTGAGTAAAGGCATTTGGAAGAAATGTATTGAGCATGTATTTGTGATGAGTTAATTAGATCCATTATTATTAACGTGTCTTAAGTGTAATAAACTAGTACACTTGACTTATTTTCTTTTGCTCCCTGAGGAGCATAGGACAGGAGATTCCCGATCTGTCCTTGTTCCCAGTCAGGTTCTTTAGCTCGTCCAAGTTTTCCCAATGTTTTTTTCTTCTTTGTCAATGGTATCCCGGAGTTAACTTCTCCTAGGAAACATGCATCTAGTTCGTCTGCTATATCAGTGCTTGACATTTTTCTTGTACTATTTACCTTCAATAACTTAAGGTAATTGATTAAGAGAACGTCAAAATAGCCCAGAGAAAATGTTGTTTTTCTTCAAACGTCAAATAATGATGACATTACTTATCTAACTTGATCCTGTCAAAGTTTGATGTCTCCGCCGGCAGCAGTTTTTTTTCATTTCTTTACGGCGGAGGGAAAAATGTTGTCATGGCAACAATATGAAACATGTCACAAAGCAACAATACAAATGTCATTAACAACAATTAAACATCATTTTTATTTATAGTAATATTAAAAGTACAATTAGTTAATGAGGCATTTTCAAAATTGAAACCGTGCAAAAATGTTCCCGACTCTTGATACGCATTGGTAATTGTTGATGATACTGATGGTCGAGAACAACTTTCAGCAATCATTCCCGATGTTGGCGGCTTGCGAACAACAATAAGCTGTCTTTAATAATTGCAAACAACTGTAACCAGGGAGACGCAAATCCCACCGACGACTTAATTAGTTTAATTTCTAATATCTAGACGACTTTGATAGTTGTCACAGTTAATTTCGAGTAAAAATAGCGTATGAATTGTACTATTTATGGTTAAAAATTGCTACGTTTGAAGAAAAAATAGTATACTTTATTCGGCAAAGAAGCGACTTTTCTTGACTTGCCCTCTATTACGCGCCTCACTTCGTTCGGCGCGTAATATCGGGCGCGTCAAGAAAAGTCATGCTTCTCCGCCTCATAAAGTAATATACTATTATTGTAATAAACGCAACGTTATCGAAAGTATCGGTAAAGTTATGAAACTGCATTTTGTATACTTCTTCGAGTTCAGAAAAGGTAATAAAACTTTTCAAATCATCAATAAATTAAAATTTTGGTTTCTTTTACTTTTGCCCAAGTGATTGCCGCAAAATATTTTTACTTTTGATGAAAAAATACTTTGTTTTTGGATACTTAAAGTTTACTACACACTATAAAACTTAACACGACCAGTAAATAACTCAATAATAACTATAACGTTACAAAAATCACAAAACATATTAACTTTAAACCAACACGCTACAATTTGAAAATAATCTGACTGAGCAGTTTGACCTGTAAAATGACAATCATTTTCTCTCAAGGCGATAAAACATATTTAATAGTCTCTTGGCGGATACCGTCGGAACACGTGCATATCAGGCCTCGATAATTTGTTTATGTTGGGAATGTGCAATATGAATAGAGTTTAGGTATAGTATTAGTAGATTTAGGTAGAACTACTTACCTGTATAATGTGGAAATTTTATTTTAAGTTTTGTTATATATCTGTATATTTTTAAGAAACTTAATGATGGTTTATTACTCTGCGTAAAACTTTTAGGGCTTTAACTTTGTCAATAGTATAAATCTTTCGATTATATTGGGAAAGCTCAAAGAGTGAGTGTGAAATAAATATTGTATCTATTTCTCTCGTTCTTATATTTAGGTACATCTTTGTTTATTATGCATGAGTTAAGTATTATTTTTAATTCCGAATTATCATTTTTCCAGCTTCTTTGCCACTTCTGTGATGATAACTTCTTCTCCCAATACTTTTCTCTTATTACATTTCATTGTTTTTTTAAAATTCGACAAGCCCCGGAGAAAAAAATTAAATAGTAGCGTGGCACAGAGGAAGGTAATAACAATTATGATATTGCTGCAAAACTTCCTAGTATTTCATATCGTCAATCTGGAAAAAGTAAGAAAAGAAGTGTTTAGTAAATCTTAATGATTCTTATTTTGCATTATTAAACCTGACAATTGTATTGTTTTAGTGGTGTCTCAACAACGATAGATCCAATTTGGGACTTCTCTTTAGATCTCGGACCCGTAACATTAGGAGGCAGACAACCTTCTTCTCTTCATGAATGCCTTGATAGATTTACTAGAGCTGAACTTTTAGAAAATAAGGAGAAAACCTTTTGTTCAAATTGTCAATCACATGAAGAATCTACTAAACAGTTTACTATGAAGACTCTTCCTATAGTTGTATGTTTTCATCTAAAGAGGTTTCAGCATACAAATGAGGTACGTACATCTAGTGTAGGTATTTAATTTTCTTACCGTGTAAGGTCTTTAATTGAAAATATCTGAGCTTCGCTTAGATCACAAGTCACAAGATTATTTAAGTTAAAGCTGAGAACATTTAAAACGGATCTCAATCATACCAATTTTACAGGAAAGCTTTTTGTCAAATACGTAATCCTATTATATAATTGCCAAGTTAACGCCAGAAAAATTCAGTTATTTTAGATCTTCGCCACATGACACCAGAGATACTACCGCATTTTTTTTTAAAGTTAATTTCATTTAAAATTTATATATATATATATATATATATATATATATATATATATATATATTATAATAAATAATGAAATTATCCTAAAATATAATATCCTATTATATAGATCCATAGAAAAAATCGAAATTGAGACAGGCCATGGAATCATTATTTATACAGACCAGTAGTATCATCGTCACCATGCTTAATGACTTGACATTATTAATCTATTGTCAATATAAAGTTTTGGTTAAGCCAATACTTTTAATCATAGACATATAATACAAATAGACTCACTGCTGCCATACAGTAGCGATCATAAGCGGATGGGAGCTATGGTTCTGGAGTTTTCAAAATCAATTGTGTGATCTCTATGAAGATGGTGATGACCTAGAGCAGAAATTAAGTCGGAATTGCGAACAGAAATGGAATTAATTACTATTTAACTGGGAATAATCCACAATTAAAGATAAAAATACGTTTATTGACGTTTCAATTTCCACTTCGAAAATCGTTCTCAAAATACAAACAGTAAATTAAACAAATTTTGTTTTTTGTTACATAGTGAAAAATTCTTTTAATAATTTAATTTTATCTGACTCATTTATATTGACAATTCAGACATACATTATTCATTTTAAAGTAGACGAATTTAAAATGATATTGCCAATATTGTTGAGTTGCGCTCCTGGGACGACTTTACTTATAAGATAATTCATTCGATTACATGAAATCAACTTTAACTTGAGAATACCCGTCAGAAAAAAAATCATAGCATGTAATTCGTCTTTAAAAAGACAAACACATGAGTATGAGTCGTATGAGTAAATGTTTTTATGTTTTTAAATTTTATTTTGTATACGTAATGAATATTGCTGACCCATTTATATGAGCCTACCTTCATTGTCATTTACATCCTTATCTTTATACGGAGTAAACTACAAATTGCGGAAAGGGCAATGGGGAGAATAATGTTAGGGATTTCTCTACATGATAGAATACCCAATGCTACTATACGCAAAAGATCAGGAGTAGCGGACGCTATTAGCCGAATACAAGCTAACAGAAATAGAGGTCGACCCCCAACGAGATGGACAGATGACATAAAAGGAGTGAATACAAATTGGATTCAGATGGCGCAAAATCGGACTAAGTGAAAAAGCATGCGAGAGGCCTATGTTCAGCAGTGGACGTTAGATGCTAGTTGATGAAGATGAAGAACTGTTATGTCCATTTAGGAGCGTCTTAGCTCATCTATAATCTTCTTCTATTTAGTACTTAGTCCTTGTTCATGATCTCTTGTTTATTTACAATTTACAATTTTTGAGTTTTATTACATTCCTGACAAATAGATCCCCTTACAACAGTAATTGTTATGGCTTTGGGAATTCATGTAATTCAAGACATGATTTTGACTTAGAAGGCTATTTGGGGTTATACTTGGCTATCGCCTATTCGCGAGATCGTCGTAGTTCAGATGGCGTAAAAGTTGTGGATGAAACTTTTCAAGGAATCTTTTGAGTCGTTTGTTTACATTGTAAGTAAAAACTTTGTACGTAGTGCACACGTTTTTACAGTATAAGTAGTTATATGCAGTTTATGCTCTTTTTTATATTTGGGCATATAACCCCAGTTTTCCAGTCGCTAGGGATCTCTTCATCATTCCAAAAACTTTGTACGTGGTGCACAAGTTTTTACAATTTATGTAGTTATATGCAGCTTATCCTCTTTTTTATATTTGGGCATATAACCCCAGTTTTCCAGTTTCTAGGGATCTTTTCAGCATTCCAAATCTTGTTTATGAGCATATGCATATGTCCTATTAGGTGTTCATCATCTAACTTATATAGCTCAGGGAAGTTGTAAATACCTGTTTTGTTATTCTTTTGTGCTCGTATTACTTGTTTTACTTCTATTCTAGGGGATTCTATGTTTTCGGTGTATTCCTCAACGATATGCATGTCCATATGCTCTTCATTTTCTTGCGTCCCTAAAATAATTTTAAATAGGTTTTCCATACTCATTTTAATTCTTTTGGATCGCTGGTTATTTGCCCTTCTTGATTTCTGCATAGATTTGTTCGGGGTTTGTATCCTTCTCTTAAATTTCGTAGATATTTATACGCTTCTCTTATATTGCTGCTTTGAAAATTTTCTTCAATTTTCTGTATATTACCGTTTTCCTATTTTCTTTTCTCTGTTCGGCATATTTTATCGAACCTTCGTCTTCATCTTTGTTGATTGTTCTTGTTTCTCTGGTTCTTCTTTTCATACGTTTCTTGTGTTGTTGATTTCTTTTTGTATGACCTCTTTACACTCGTCATTTAACCTTTTTTTGTCTATTATCTTCCTAGCTGGATCAATTACTTTGATTTTGTTTTCTTCCCAATGTTCTTCGGTGCCTAGACTATGTGTATTTGTTTTATTTCTATCTCATAGTTCTGTTTAGTATCTTGTCTATCTTAATTTACTGATTTACTGATAAAGTCATGATCAATTTGGTTGGTTGCTGTTCCACCAGACATAATCCATGTCGCTTTGTGTATATCGCAGTGTGGGAAAAAAGTCGAACACATGATAATGTTTTTTCTAATCGCAAAGTTGATTAGTCATTCTCCATTTTCATTTGTTTTGATGTAGTGAATGTTTACCAATGATTCCTACAATAAGACCTACTGTAAACATTTAACCAAACAACTTTGGTTTACATTTTTAAGGGGCAGTTTGGTTTAAGGTGCAAAAAAGTTTAAGTGTAGGAAATTCTATAATAATGCTATTTGAAAGAGAATTAATTTCAATTTTAACCAAAAACTATAAAATTTAAGTGTAGGAAATCCTAATTCTATTTGAAACAGAATTAATTTCTTATTTTGATAAAGTCATAAAATACAGGCTATTTCATTTAAAATAATTTACTGACTGTGGTTGGTAAGTAAAAGAGCAATTATAAAAATCCTATCTAAGTCTCCTGTTAAAATTCTACAATACTAGATTACTACAATTATTCGGAAGTGGTAATTTTCAAATTTAGAAACCGAGTAATTTTTTGAAATCTAATATGCGGTCTGCGTGGCACACTGTGTATATTTATCTTTACTATTGTTTGTTACATAACGGTAACCAAACTAGTCTAACGAAGCAACATACATATACCTTCAGTGATTTTTATTAAAATACATTGATTATTTTTAGGTAAAGAAAAAAATATCTACAGTGATATCTTTTCCTGAAATGTTAGATATGACACCTTTCATGAGTAGAAGTAAAGAACAGACTTCTTTCCCCATAGACAATAGATACTCATTATTTGCTGTTATTATTCACGTAGGTCCAACAATAGATATCGGACATTATGTAGCGTACGTGAGACAACAACACGACTATTGGTACAAATGTGATGATGACGTCATAACTAGAGCTAATCTTAAAGAAGTTCTTGGATCCGAGGGGTAAGTGTGAACAATATTTTTTCTAGATAGTCCATATTTCTCTTATATTTTATAGACGCAGTTTTAAATATACCAGGTTATGACAACAGTTATACAGCAGGTACATTTGTAATAATACAAAATGTGTATTTCTCTACCATAGTTTGGTATATTGAAATTATGTTGAATTATGCAAAGTAAATGCTGGTATTGATAGATGTGTTGTGATCCTTTGCATTTGTCTTAATATGTTTTCCAAACTTGCCTCAAAATCTATAGATGATATGCATTTATACCAGCATTCTTTTTTGCTTTTTTTTTTCTTTGGTACCGTCTGACTTTCCCGTCTGGCTATCTTACATTCATAATTCCACCAGGATACAGGTTTATTAGAGGCTGATATTGTGCGTGTTAAAGTGTGTGTTTCAGAGGCGAGTGTGACCAAATGCACTAGAAAGTTCAGTGCTACATCTGAAGCGTCTGAAAATTGTTGTTAGTTAACTCTGCTTTCAATTAAGTCAGAAAAACTCTTTCATTTCTAAACCCAACTTCCTCCCCTAGTTCTCCGATTAGGTGTTGAATCCTCAGAATATAAAACCGGAATGAAACCTATTCGAGCAAGATGGAACATCAAGGTAAGGTTATTTATTAAAATTGATTAAAAGTCTTACCATTGCCATTTCCATATATACACATGTATAGATGTACTGTGGGTGTCTGCTTAATGTGTTTAATTCACAAAACAATTTTAACATTTGTTTCCGATACAGATTTCAGTCCTCTATAAAAAGTATTTTAAATAATTAGGGAATCAGGAATTCAACATTGTGTTTATATGATCCTTTTGACGATTCACCACCCGCTATATTAAAGAAGTGAATGATTGAAATATCGTAAAAGTAACGTGTGCACGTGTAGCGTTACAGTGTGCTAAATTCGACAACCAGCATTATCAATATCGTAATACTGATTGCCTATCGACTAGTGATATTGTGCAGTGTGTTGTATTTCAGGTAATATGAGTATTGTCTTTTTAGTTTTGCATATAGCCATCAAGACAAAAAATATATAATTCGTTCTGAAAATACATTAATATTTTGTATTTTGAGAACGATTTCCAAAGTGGAAATTAAGACGTCAAAAATAATCTTATTTTAAACGTAAATTGTGGCTTCTTCCCAATAAAAATAATAATTACATTAAGATGCCACAAGAAAATAGGTTCAGAACAATAATAAAAAATATATAGACTTAAAGTACTTTAATGCTTTTCAAAATATGTCGCACCAAGATCGATACACTTTTCCATATATTCAATCCAATTGGTAAAACAGTTATTCCAGCCTTCGCTGTTTTAAAGGCATCGATGGCTTTTCTGGTGACTGGAATCGCTGACCACTCATTGAATTCTTGATCTTGGAGAACGTGAGGAAGCTGTTGGGACCTGGTTATACGATGGATGGTTTAACAATTCGATGTTTTGAAGCTCCAAAATCTGTTTTGTCTTTTGAGCACTTGCATTGTCCTTATGTAGGATGATTCGCCGTTGTATGTTGCTTTGCCGAAGTGTCGCGATAACTTTTGGTAAACAAACGGTTATATACCAAATCAGAATTAACCGTTCTATGATCTTCTAAAGCAATTGTTGCCGCATGACAAGATTTTTACACAAAAAGTTGTGACCATTTTCTTTGACACTCTTCGAGAACGGATTACTTTTTCGTTTTATTTTATCCTCAGCGTGAAACATCCACACAGCGTATTGGCGTTTATTTTCTGGTTTGTAGGAGTAAATCCAAGATTCATAGTCACTAACAATACTATAAACGTTTTTTGAGCTGCTTCCTTTGTTGAACCGTTCCAATGTTTTTCGACACCAATTGACGCGAACCGCTTTTTGCTCTTCTGTGAGCAAATGAGAGATCTTTTGGTTCGAGGTCTTTGAAATGCCCAAAGATGCCTGTATCTCTCGGTATGTTACACGGCGGTCATCCTTGATTAGCTGACGAACCGCATCAAAGTTTTGCTATGTGACTGCTGTTTTTTGGGTGGACCTGACCTGGATTCGTCGCTTAGACTCAAGCGACCACATAAAAATACCAATACCAGTGGGAAATAGTTAACTGGTATGATTCTTCATTCCCAAACAAAGAAACCATTTCAGCGAGACATTGTTGTTAGGATAATCCTCTCGCTCGAAAATGTTCTCGGCTAAGATCCATTTTTCGACCAATTTGCGAATGTCAAAAATTCACTATATCTACACGACTTGTATCGCAATTAAACTCTCTTGGCGCACTCTAAGCAGCCATTTGCAAAACTAAAAGGAGAAACCTCGTAGGAACAAAAATTTTTTTAATGAAATGTCAGCTTATCCGAATATTACCAATTAGTTCTCAGCACTAAAATTGTACCACACACTGATTTTTATCAATAATTAACAATTTTTTTGCTGTTTAACTATAAAAATTTGATTTAATGCGGTCTAACTCGGATTTGGTTAGGTCAGTCCGTAACAATTTTGACGATTTTGACAATTTGAATACTTTTTAATGTTTTTTTTTTATTTTCAGCTATCTTCTATTCTACCACAAGCACGTGCTAGGATATGAATGACGTAATACATTTTGTGATAAAATTGGTGATATTAAATAATTGTATTGTTGCAGCTGAATAAATAGTACTTGGATTGGTTCTTGAAGGATGTGTATACCGCTATGAGCTTACAACTTATAATACCGAAGCAAATATTTTTATTCTATTTAATCTCTTATCTTTTTCACGATTAATTATGGTTTTGCTTTGAGGGAGCACAGTGGATCAAATACATGCATTTAACCTTTAAGAATGTTTAGTTTAGCCCATCTTATAAAATTAATTATAAAAATGGGATCATAATTGGGAAAGTGTATCATACATATTTGCTTTTAGATTTTTTTTTACCAAACATGTTTAGTACAGCAACATACTAAATTGTATAGTAGAATATTTCTGATATACATGATTGGTTTGTTTGTGGAGTCAATCTAAGCAGTATAGTATGGATACATTGGCATGCGAATTTTGTTTTTCATCATGTTCAATGTAAAAGAGCTGTCGATTTTTTTTATGTGGGGTATATATAGAACAAGTTTTTGATTCATCCATAACTATGCATCTAATATCCTTAGATTTTGGTGGGGCTTAGTCGGCCAAGTTTTTGAATACGCCTTAATATTTTTTTTATAATCTTAACCAAACATGATTCCTGATATACTTGCAATAAATAAAATTTCTGCGGTTTATATAAAAATTTACTGTATTTTTACGTGAATCATGAATTTTGATTTTTAAAGATAAAATTATTACTATACATACCAGTCCTGAGGAGATAATCAATTGGATGTAGATGCTAAAATACTTTAAAAAGTGGTGGTTAAAAAATTATATGCAAAATTTTTTCGTATCTCGAAAACTTCGAAGCCATGACCTTACTATCCATTTCTTAACTCTTTCGAGTCGGATTTTTTTTCAGGATCGGTATGGAATTTTGAACTTTTTTTGTGTAAAACGTATAAGTATGCAAAAATAAAAGTGATTGAGATTAATTTTATCCTTTAGATCCGCCATTTTGTCCGGGACATAATATATGTCCCAGTCAGACTTTTTTGGAACATATAATTGGGACTATAATAACCCATCAGACACCAAATTCTTACTATATTTTAGTAAAGAAAAATCGAAAATACAAATAAAGTCTCATATGTTGACAACAAAACGACTAAAACTAAGATCAATATTTAATGAAAATGAAAAGGTGTGAAACATATTTTGCACAAGTGTACATTGTAGCTCTGACATAGTGTGGTGGTTCGTTTTTCTTTTTTTCTGATAAGAACATCGTTGACATCTTCTACAGGTCTTTCCTTCGATAGGTGAATGATCTTCCACGTTGAATTTTTTTTTGTTTCTTTGCTGGAGGATGTCCAAGTGAAGTCGAAGCTTTTCGTTTAACAACAGCATGACTTCTTCCCAATGAAATAAGTCCTTCAACTACACTAATTAGAAAAGGTTAAAATTGTGTCTTTTCTTTCCTTTTAGGTCATTGTGTAGTACATAAGAATTTCCAACAGCCATCGTCAGAAAGTGAAAAAATACTGTTTTCTATCATTTGAAAGACAAGACTTCTAATCAAAGTCATACAAGCCCAAAATATGATCCATATCCACGCCGCCATTTTCTTATTGTACGTGTCGATATAAGTTCAGGACATGGCACATTCATTTTAGAGCCATTCTTCATTTCTCGTTTCACTTCTACTTGCTTCTCCAAAGCAATTGCTTACTGCTAGCAAGTCTTTAGTATCTTGCCACAAGCAAACTATGGTGCCATGGAACCGAAAAAACGTGGTAAAAAAGTTCCATCGTTATGAAACCAAATACCTGGTTGCTACGTACCTTCGCCTTCTTCATCATTTTTGTCACAACTGCTTTCTTCTTTACTTTCGTCACTTATCATATGATTCTCCTTATCCATTTTATTGCCCTCAGAACCTGAATCTATTTTGTGACGCTTGTGTTCTATTTCTTCTTAGCATCCTGATGGATTGTAGTCTTCAGCATCGGAGCTACTAGTGTCAGAGGGATCGACTTCTGATTCTGTCTCGCTGGCAAAAATGGCTGTTACCTCCTCCCCTAGCTCTTTCTGTGTCACTATCTTTCTACTCATCTAGAACAAAACAAAACTGTTGGGGCACATATAACCCACCATAAATGTCTGTTGGGACCTATTTCACCCACAAAACAAAATACTAGTTTTGTTGAATAAATTTACCTTTTTTTCTTGGTAACTCCACTCACAAAAACAAATTCGTAGCAACATAACATCTTAAAACTTTTCCTGTGGTAATCATCAACAAATCTACATAAACACATTCCGCAGATAAACATCACGGGAAAATACAGCGCGAAAACAGTTCGCAATGTTGCCTCTTACACAAATTATTCTATTAAAATTATTATTAAGTTCTTAAAAAGTCGGTTACGA